ATTTTAATGGGTTTTTCTTAAGATAAAATACACCAGCTTTTTTTTTTTCTTAACATTCTGAGTATGTTACTTCAGAATATGACATTAAAAAAAAAAATGTTGATAAGTATCTACATCAACCATCACATTGAGCTGTGGGCGGTGATCTTGTCTTTTGGTGAAAGAGAGCCCTCTCCAACATGAAGCGCGCTGCAAGTCCGCACCCTCCTTCACGGCGTGGTTACCTTCAAAACGAAGCACTGAACCTGCGCTCGTAATTAAGTCAGCGCTGGGGAAATCCACGTCCTGATGCTCCGCTGATCCGCAGCACGTGAGGAGACTGGCGATGGCAAGCCCCTGAGAGCACACGGCCTTATCGCGTGTATTTTAATGGGTGTAGCGCCGTCAAGTCTCAATCTCGCTTGGCCATTAGATGCCACCACGCTAAAAACCAACGAGCCCTCCTAATAATGCGCTGAGAGGCAGAGCCAGAAGCTGCGAGGAATTACTCCTGCGGAGATGATTTCCTTTCTGCTGAGGGCAGTAAGATGCGTAGGTGAGATCGAGACCAGGGTGGATGAGGTGAGACTGTCACGATACCACCTAGTCTTTCTATTTGCGCTGCAGCCGATACTACTTTTTGAAGCATTGTGGGGCCATCAGTATTCCTGTATCATAGCATCTTTCCGTCTTTTTGCCCAAAGGGAGGTTTTACGCTTGGATTTCGAGGCGCCCATCTGTGCGATCGAGCGATACAGGTGAGAAAAGGAGGAGAGGTGCTACGTCGGGGTTCAGCTGCGTTGCTTCTCCTCCGGTCTTGGTAGCCTTGTTCTGTTCATGGTTGTTGGGTACCACGGACCAATCCTCTCAGCATTCCGCTGTGATCCCGGTCCTGTAAGGAGCGGGGACGTCAATCGCTAGTTCTCCCTGTTCCTCTCCATGGGATCCAGGTCCAACAGAAACTTTTAAGATGATCCCTAGCAGGATTAAAGTCCTCCACAAGCAGGCAGAGGCAAGCTATTCAGAAAAACAAGGTCATGCTGCCTTTTTTTTTTTTTTTTTTTTTTTTTTTGGTAAGCACAGGAATCAACAAAGCGATGTTATATAACTTCTATTTATATCCCACTTGCTCACTAGCTGCAGGCATACAAGAGGAGCTGAGAAGGGAATTTAATGAGCTCTCAGGGCTTGCTCACCTTCCAGAGCGGGTAGGAGCCAGCTTGTTTTTGAAGTGCGTCAGCAAATGAAACTGGTGGTGGGTGGGTGGTTTGGGTAGGTGGACTGACTTGTTGCTATGGTTTTCTTTAATTCCTCTGTCTCTCAAGAAGATCTTACACTTTTTTTTAATTTTTTTTTTTTTTTTTTTTTTTTTTTTTGGGGGGGGGCATGCTTTCTTGTTTCTCACACCTACACAGAGCTCGCTGGTTCAGTAAGGAAGTGGGATTCATGCTCCTGCCATGCAAGAGCCTCGCACAGATTAACTGAGTGACCCGGCGGGTGCGTGCTCCCACATGCATGCAGGAGGAACTCAAATACGGCTCTGTGCTGAAAGCAGGTCAGGCCCCCAAGCCTCCCACGCTTTGGAGGCCATCTGCTCCATCTCCGGGGGGATTTAAACCCCGAACCCAGCAGTCGCGTTCCTACCTGTCGTTCCCCCGGCACGCCTTCACCTCCTGGGGATCATCCCGTGTGTCTTCGTTGTCCCGGGGGTTTCGTCCTGGTCTGGAAGGGCACGAGGGGACCGTATCTCTGCGAAGGTTGTTCGGTCTTTCCTCTTTGTGAAACGACTTTAAATTGCATCAAGGTTTTAGGTGTTGCAGTAGTAGTAGAACGCGTAGGGCATAAGGGCTCTTGCCGACATGAGTGGTGTAATTCTGCCGCTGCTTTCATTTGAAGCTGGTTGGGAAAGACGAGCATTCGCACGGGATGCTCTGTCTATGCTCGTACCCCTCCAAAAACCTCCTCCGTAAGGTGGGGCAGAATCTCCAGCGAGGAGTAGGGCCTTGCAGGATGGCACGTGGATGCCCGTGGCTGGGAGGCTTTGCCTTACGTGTGGAAAATAGAGCTGGGAAGTCCCCCTTCTGCTTTCAGGACAAAGTTGATTTTACAGTTTGCAAAAAAAACCAGGCAATTGAGGTGTTCTGGCAGATTTTCCTTATGGGTTTATTTCAAACTGTGAAGTATGTTCAGCATGAAATACTTCAGCTGCCATTTCCTTAAGCTGTGCAAGACTAATGATATCTATCACTCACACCCCAGAGTGATGGATCTTTAGCGAGCCAGGACGTATGAAAGATTTCAAGAAAAGAGAGGGATCAGTGATATTTAAAATAAAAAAAAAAAAAAGGGGGTAGGGGGAGAAAGCAAAGTTAGGTTTGAATTTTCTGCAGTGGAAGCCCTTGCAATATGTTTGGGCAGAATGTAAAGGGTTGGCATTTGTACTTAATTCAGTGTTAGCAGTGCAGTTCCCCCTAAAACGCGGCTGCTTTGAAGTAGTCCAGCTATAAGAAACGGTACGGGGGTGGCAGGCTCTTTCCGCAAACATGAAGTAGCGCAGAAGTTTTGCATTAGTTCATGCTGGCAGCCTGTCCGGATAACCCAAGCAAGTTAACATCCCCATAATAATTTCTCTCTAGCGCTGGAATAAAATGTCCTGAGTTGAAGCCAGAGAGCTGATCTTTCTCTTGTATCTGGAGGGACTTTCCTCTTTTGAAATATCCCTGACTAGTCGAGTTCACGGGGCGTCTCCTGGTCACTGGCACAGGAGAAATGGGGAGGGAGATGACAACAGTTTGCTTTAATTTGTGAGGTGTTTGCTGGGGCTTTGCTTTCCCTTACTGGTAATCAAATATTTGTTTTCCTGGGGAATTCTTTGGGATCTGTTCGGATGGTCTGGCAGGGCTTGGTGGCTGTGGTCTGTTCAAACAGCTTTCTGAATTACGGAGGGCGCGGTCCAGAAAATACTCCGTCCTCTGCAGGATGACGGCAATCTCTGTTTGGGTTCTGCAGCCAAATGCTTTCCTAAAATCAGGCCACCCTTCTTTCAGGAGGAAGCCCGCATCTGAGCAGATGCATCTTAAACCCAACCCTTGCTAATAGCTTGAGAAATGTCAGGCAGCGCGTGCAGTCCAGCCCGTAATTGCTGGGTCTGGGGCGGAAAGCCAAGCTATTCCATGCAAAACAATCAAACGGTTGTTCCTCTTCCTGGCTGGCAAAGCAGCTGTGACTTCGGGGCAGATCCAGCTGACAGGTAACAGCGCAGAAGGTGTTCCCAGTAAAGGTGACAGCTCACGCCGGCGAAGCTGGCTAAGCCTTTCAAAGGCAAGAGCTAGAAATAAGCTGCCTTCAGCTGGTGCCTTTGTTTTCCCTTTCACAATCCTACATTGGGCACAGACTCAATCACAGTTGAACAAACTTACTGGGGATTAGTTAAATTTAGTGGATTCGTTCGCTGGGTCTGCGCTCGCTTCACCTTACACGAAGGTACCGGTCTGCTGCCTTTTACAGCTTTGCCCTCCGAAGGGCAGATGCCAGCTCTGCTGGTTAAAAAAACCAGTTTGCAACCGATTGCTGGTACGTGAGACACGTTAAGGAGCATTTGTACATGCCGGGTGGTTACCCTGCCTCCGCAATCCCACTCCCCCGAACTGCTGGGTAGTTAGCCGAGCTTCTCTTCTACCCATGGTTGGAAATTATGTGTATTCTGTGTCAAAGGTCTTGGAAAGAAGCCAGGAAGGGAGAAGAGGTGAAGTGGTAATGCTAGGAAATGTGCCTGTTCTTTGCTGATTTTTTTTTTGTTTTTTAAAATATGATTCTACAACCAGATTGTTAATGATCTGCAATATTTAAGAACGTGCCAAAAAATTAACCACCACAGAAAATGATATTAATTCTGAATAAAATGCCAGCAAGCAAAAATAGTATTTTCAGTTTAGCAAAAAAGGTAGGCAAACATTTAACAGTGTATGTAAATAATTTGAAGGGGAGAGGATACCAAGTTCCTGGGAATAACTATAGAAGAGACATACAAACTTTAAAAAAAAAAAAACCAAAATCAGTGACTGGAAGTTAGTGACGTAAAAAGGAGCTTAGTCACGTGTTTCTAACAGTTATTAACCACTGGAACAGACTACAGACAGCCATGGTTCATCACCTCCGATGCCTTCTAAAGAAAGAGAGGATGCTTTTCTTGAAAAGACGCATTGCGCAAACACAACTTTGGCCTCAAATAAGGAGCGCGAGCGAAGGGCTGATGGTGCTCGGAGGTAGGCCAGGCTGTAGCTGATCAGTGCGCTGCAATTTAAACTTGGCCTTGGCTTTATTTTCTAGCGAAATGAGTCACGTGGTTTGCAGCTTTTCTGCTGCAATGTGTTTTGCGGGGACCAGGGCAATGAAGTCGTGTACGGCAGGGTCATAGTATTTACTCGCCGTCCTCCGGTGGCTCCAAGGCAGTATGCTGGAGGGCGAAGGTGTAAGAGGGGTGTTTTGCTGTGCATGAGGTTTCCTGTTGGATTTTTTCAGGAAAGAAAAGGAGGAGAAGGAAGGAGAAGTTATTGCACAGGTTTCCTGGTAGCTCGCGTTACTAGTTGTTTTACTCTGTGGTATTGCAATAGACCGCTTTCGACGTCAGGAGAAGGAGTCGGTGTGGCTGGCTTTGCAGACGTGCAATGCCTGCGCTGGGTTCTTCTCCTTCCATCCCTTTGAAACAAATACAGGCTCGTCATAATGCCTGACATACCTTATGCCTGTAAAAGCAGCAGCGTACTGCTGCCTGCCTAGCGCTTCATACCGGCATGGAAACGGCGCACCACAAAAATAGATTTATTCGCCAGCCACCTGCAAGACTATGAACTCGCAAACCTTTACGCAAGAAGATTTTCCCTTTCTGTTTCTTAACGAAGCTCTTTCCATTGCCCCAAGTTAGTCTTGAATGAGTTCGTGGAGGTGGCGGTTGCTCCGTCTTTAAAAACGACTTCAGAACGCTTTGCGTGATGTCCTTGCACGCGGTGAGCGTGGCTGTCATGTCGGAAGCTTGTGCGTGTCGTATGCGGATGTTTTTGACTGGCTTTCGTTCTGTGGCTGTGTAATTAATTGCAGTCACATCATCTCTGATATTCTCGCATCGGAGAGAAGCCTTGGTTCACGTAGTGGGCTGGCTGCGGCGCTCTGGAGACGTATTGCGTTTCGCTGAGGTGTGTGTGCTTGTAAAGCTGCTTGCTGAATCCGGCATTCATAAAGCAAACCTCATGATTTTCTTTTGTGTCATGTGACGTCTCTTGTTTAATGGCAAGGACTCTTAACAGTCATTAACAAAACACAGCTGAAATGAAATACGGGTTGCATACTCCACGATTTTAGCACTCTTTGAGCAGGCAACTGGTCCGCTGCCAGCGTCTCGAGTATGAGACGAAGCTCGTGTCTTCGCTTACCTTTCAGGCGGCTTTTCCTCTGGTACCTCGTGCTGGGATAACCAGGTACGGCCCACACGCTGGTATGGTAGGGGTCACGCTGCCCTGCCCTGCGTAGGCTTGTAGGAGATCGCGGGTGCCACCGTGGTGGTGGCTAAATCAGCAGGGTCTGGCTGGGAGATGAGGAGCCAGCCTGGGCTGCTCCGCCGGGCACGGTGAGGGCAGGGCTCTCTCTTGCTCACAAGACACTTGGCTTTTGGGTTTGCATCAGTTTCGTTGGGGGGCCCTCAAAGGAGCGGCTGACGTCGAATGCTCCCGTGTCGGCGGTGCGTTAAAAGCGCTATTCTTCAGAAACGCGTATGCGCGGGTTTGCTGTTCTCTTCGTTGCAGGCTGCTCTCCTAGAGCACGCTTGCTCTTTCGGCAGTCTTGCTTGTGGTTGCACGACGTCTACGTGCCAGCCAGGACCCTGGCATATGGTAGTCTAAAATGGCCGCTCTATTTCCGTTTTAAAAAAAGGAGATTTTTTTTTTTTTTCCATTTTTTGTTCTGAGGCTATATCTGTAAATAAATTTCAGGATTTCTGTCATAATTATCGCCACCGATTACCTGCTCAAGTGCAACTTGCAAGATCACACCTCTTAAAATACAGTACCTTTGATAGCTGGCATGTGGTTGATTCGTATGTGTGAAGGTGTTAGGCATCCTGACCTAAACTGAAACAATCATTTTGTGACAACCATTGAACGTATGCACAGCACACGCAAGAAAGCTTTACTGGAAATGTTTGTTTCATTTGTTTTTTTTCTCTGAAGTGTGGTGGAAAGTTAGTTAAGAAGCTTGAAAAGACGACAAAAATCAAGCCTGTCAGCAAGTACCGATTACTTGCATACAAGATATTTCTTCAGTGTGGTTCATTAAAAAAAGCTTTTCCTTCACTGTTGCTTCATCACAGGGGAACTCCTCCGGTACAGGCTCTTGAGACGTGCAGCCAGGTGACAACCATCGCTCGCCTGACGAGCAAATCGTGTTATTTTCCAAAAAACGGTTACCCTTTTAGAACCCGTAGTTTATGCTGGTCTTTCTGTAAGATATTATAATAGTATGTTGCTCGTTGTGTAATACTGGTAGAGTAAAATTTTCAAGCTGCAGCTTAGGTGCAAACTCTTCCTCTGTCTGTACTGGGAGCCAACAAGTCAGAGACCGTGCTTCAAAGGGCTGGCCGTCCAAATAAGCCAGCCCTGCGTTTGGGTACTGGTCAGCAGCTCAGGGAAGCCGTGTCAATGCATCCCTTCATGCTGATTGTAATTTGATGGTATTCTATCCACTAAGTCTGGTCAGGTCAAAGAACCCATTTAGAATAAAAAAAAATACCTGGGTAAGTAAACTGGCACAGACAAAGGATGTTTTTGTTTGGGTATGTTTTATGAGAAAATGTTAAAATTCTTGATGTCACGTATCAGATTAGCGAATAATTCTGCAAGTTAAATGAATTGGGCACCCAGATCATCTTGTGGCATGTCACAGGGCCCAGCACAGTTCTGTTGCAATGCCTTTTGGTAGAAGGCATCTCTCGCGGTGCTCTGGCATGTCTGTTTTACTCGACTGTTTGCGTGCATGTCCGGGGAAGGTACCAGCGGGGCTGGCTTCGCGGACGTGCGATGGGTTCTTCTCCTTTCCCCCCTCTCTGTTACTCGCTAGAAGTAACAACGAAAAGGGTTTACCTGAGATGCTCTGGGCAGGTAGAAGGTATTGCGATGGTGGGAGGGATAGCTCATGTGAATATTGACCATCCTCTTTAAATAGTAGCGCTGCTCCTCTGTCTGTAATCAAAGACGCAACGTTATTAGTGTTTCAGAGTCATTCGGCGCTGCTCTGACTGCAGCTGCTGGGGAGCGATCAAAGGCAGGCGTACCAGAGACGGCCTTGTGTGCTCCGCTTTGCAGGAAAGCGGGCAGGATACATTGCTATGCCCATTTTAATTTGTTTTTTCAATAAATCAGGCTTCATTCCTATTCATCATGTAAAGCTGTTGGATCGTGAGCCGCTGCAGAATGCTAACTAATTTCATAATAACTCTGCATAAGGTGACCCACTTACAAGTTCATCCTTCAGTCGTGTTGAAGCTCTGGTCCTGATTTATGTAACAGCATATTGGTTTCATCAAGAATTGTCTGATCGCTCACTGTGTTGGCTCCTTTTTGACCTGTACATGATTTGTATTCTCCTCAATTTTAGGAAGAACTTTCTGTCTCTGTGCACATATGGGCAGAAGAACATTAATAAACCTTTTTAAAAGTAGTCAATGCTTTGAGTTTTTCTGTCACTTCAAGATATATTAGAGTAGGAATTAAAAAGAGTTTTAAGTCTGCTGCAGACAGGGCAATGGAAACTTAGCATGAAATATCCCTCATTACATTGCCCTGTTTGCACATTTTTGGCTGCGATTGACTATTGCACGTTATGAGTCACAGTCCCTTTGATTTGAGGGCGGGAAGGCAGGACAGTTCTTTTTCCTCTGTATTTTGCTCATATTCTTTTGTTTCTGAACTGAGAATCACATTATAGGTAATTCCATTGTCCTCACCTTAATTCGTTGTACTTCCCTTAATTCCATTGTTGAGGGAGAAGTGTGCTGCCTAAATGTATTGGGGCTGGCGTGATTTATTGCACTCGCTTTCCTTCAAAAATATATTTGGAAGTTGTTAGTAAGGGAGTTAATGTAGCTGAGACGCTTGGGCTTCCTTAACAATAAAGTATGAGTTTCCATTGCTCTAGGTTTCAGTTTACTGAAAACTTAATTAACCTCCCACTCCTTCAGGATATCACGCAGTGGAGAAAGGTGAAATAATCTGTATTCAAACCTGTGTATGAAGATATAGATCCTGTTCCATTTTCTCTTGTAGCATTCGTTCTTTTGCCGACTGACGGAAGATAAGAAATCTGAGAAGTTCTTTAAGGTTTTTTATGATCGCATGAAAGTGGCACAGCAAGAAATCAAGGCTACTGTCACAGTCAATACTAGTGACTTAGGAAATAAAAAGAAAGATGAAGAATCAGACAGAGATGTACCGAGCAGGAAAAGAGGTAATCCCCAGTTGTTCGGTTTCTGAAGCGACAAGGGAGTAAAATGCTGTGTTTTGAACTCATTTCAATTGATGCAATAATGCTCTGATCTCTGATCCCACAGAGCAAAGTTCAGAGATCAGTGGTGCCCTGGCTCGGGATTTCAAGAGCTTCATCCCCTCTTCATCCATTTGTGAGATTGTGCTATTGAAATGGTGAAAAGTATTTCTGAGATGAGACTCTGCCGCCTTGTCTATCGTGACAAGCTGCCCAAATCTGATCCGTAGTAACGACCCTGGACTGTGGGTTGTGGTCAGTGCCTTCTCTAACAATAAGTGGAGAAATCCTAATATTCTTCTCTAGCAGGTCCTTTTATCATAACTCCTGATAGTGCTAGATGTGTGTGCCCTAACCAATTAATACCAAAATTTATAACTTTAATGCAGTTCGCATAAAAGGTGCGAAGAGAGTGCCATGACATCCTTCTAAACTCGAGACCCTCACATCACACTAAACATACTTACCAAAAGAACTGATGATGAATACCTGGCCTGCGTGTGAAACTGTAATGGGAAATGTGTGAATAGAATTTCTGGTCCCCTTTATTCAGTTTGCACTAGGAAGACCTGTTCTTGTGTGTTCCAGTGAGAGAGCCTATCACCCAAATTACCGAGGAGGTCCGGGATCAGTTACTGGAGGCCTCTGCAGCTACCAGAAAGGCTTACAACACTTACCGGAGGGAGGCCGATCCTGATGACCATTATTCGGCAGGAGAAGGAGCACAGTCTGCGGCAGACAAGAGCAAAGATGACCTGGAGATGAGTGCTGTGATCTCAATAATGCAACCCATCCTCCGGTTCTTGCAGCTGCTCTGTGAAAACCACAATCGGGATTTGCAGGTACGGCCTGGTTCCTGAGCAGGCATGCTCACGTGGCCTTGAGCAGTCACTGCTGTCGCATCGGCCTCGCTAATCCCATGCCTTTGTAAATTGATACATGACTGACTATTTTCTTTGGCCTTGAAGATAATCCAAAAAAAAAAAGTGTGTATACCTTGCTGGACAAATACAGGGAAGTCCAGCTATCCAGTGTTCAGTGGTCTTTTCAATGTATATAAAAGGTGGTGGGATCACCGCTTGATGTGGCTCTTTAAAAGCATATACTTACAGCAAGAAAGTGTTCTGCTGTGAAGTTACTCATCTACTTTTGAGAGGGGAAGGGGGAAAAAAAAAAGTCATGTAGGAAAAGAAAGAGAGTGTTGGGACTTTGGTTCCGGCAGCCCTCAAGCGTATGCTTCCTTTCCAATGAACGGGTTCTCATGGGTTTTCGTGGATCTGTTCATGTGCGTAGAGTTGAACACATGGGGATGGTATCAGGAAAGCCTCAGCTGGAGTTGAATCTGGTGAGGGACATGAAAGGCAACGAGAGGGGTTTCTAGGTTGTATCCACAGCAGAAGGAGACTAGGGAGAGCATGAGTCTGCTGCTGAGTGGGGCAGAGGCCCCGGTGATACAGGATGTGGAGAAGGCCAACGTGCTCAGTGCCACCTTCACCCTGCTCTTTACTGGCAAGACCAGCCTTCACAAACCCTACGTCCCCGAGACCAGAGGGGAGGTCTTGGAGCAAGGGACACCTACCCTCGGTGGAGGAGAATTGGGTTAGGAAACATTTAAACAAGCTGGACGAGTCCATGGTGCCTGTTGGGATGCCCCGGGTCCCCTGTGGAGCGTGGGGTCCAGTCCTGGTCTCCCGAGTCCATCAGGGAGTCTTAAAGATGACAAAGGGACTGGATCACCTGATGGGCAAGGAGAGGCAGAGAGCTGGGAGAGGTCAGGCTGGAGCGGAGGCGGCTCGGGATATCTCACCCGTGTCTGTAAATCCCTGACGGGGAGATGTGAAGAGGACGGAGCCGGGCTCTGCTCGGTGGTGCCCCGTGACCGGGCGAGGGGCTCGGACCACTCTCCAAAGGGCCCTGCTGTCCTGTGACACTCCGGGATGTATTTGTACGGTTTTAAATAGCAAACCCAGAACTTCTACGTTAGTAATCTTATCTAGCGCGTGCCTCCGCAGGAGATAAGATTTTTGCTTACAAATGGACTGCAATTAACATGATTTTTCTTCAGCGCAACCACTGCTGCTGGATTAGAATTGAATGCAAGCGAGGAGCTAGTGAGACGCAGTACAATGTACTAAATGCCCTCATAAAGGAGGAATAATTGCCGTGATTGCATATTGTTGTACGGCACGCCAGAAGTGTAGGACCCTGCGTGAGTGCTTTTCAGACCTGCCAAATCACTTCCGCTGAACTGGAATGCCCTGCTGCTGGCAATATGTGAAATCAAATCTGTATGGTAATGTTCCTGTGCTATGAAAGTGTAATTCTTTTAGCGTTTCATAGGTGCCGGGGTTACATACATCAGGGTTTCTCCTAATTTTTTTCAAAAAACTATTTGATCTTTGTTTTGTCAAACAATTTTCATGCCGTTAGCGATGTCGGAGACAAGTAGGACGGCAGTTTTACGTGGCAGTAGTCCAAACCGCACGCACATGATCCTTTGCTGCTGCTGTCTTTGGCTAGGCACCGAAAGCTATAGGAGCAAAATTGAATTCAAGCCAACGCAGAAACTTGGCGTGAGCTGTTCACCATCCTGAACAATTAAATTCCCCAAACAGCAGGTAGATGCATTCAACTCTGGGAGAAAAAGGGTAAAAAAAAAAAAAAGAAGCCCAAAGTGAGAGGAACAATTTTTCGAATATGATCTTCTTGCTACTTGCCTACCTTGATGCTTGCCTTTCTCCTTCAGCCCTGAAGGGGAGGCCAGAGTGTCTGAAGCTTCAAAGTCTTTGTGTCTGCAGCTAGTACATCGTAACTGAACTCCTTATCAATATTGCCAGTGGACTCACTGCTTCAAGGAATAAGTAAGAGCTATTCTGGGAGCGGTGTGTCTTCCAAAATTGCATAAATTCAATTTGAATTAGAAGCGAATAGGGATCAGCTCCCCAGTGCAGTTGTAGGTTTGTCAAACCAAGTGTTTTACAAGCTGTTAGCAATTAGGAGTAGCCTGATGTTGTGCAAAAACAGGAAAATGCAAGTCACTGCTGTAAGAGTCGATATGTGCTTTAGAGGAGGAGGAAATCTTTGTGAAATGGCTTAGGGAGTTGCGATACTGTGCCTTTGCATCACTCAGTTGTTCCCTTCGCAGACAAAAACTGCAGTTTGCTCCGTGTTGCGCACAGTCCCCCTCCAGCTTACTGCGTGGGTCTGGAGGAGGAGTTGCAATATCTTCTTCAAATTAATGCGAGGACTGGAACTAACAGGTGGATGCTTAAGTATGTTTTGGTACTCACTTCAGGCTGAATGCATCAAATTTTGCTGTGGAGTGCTCTTGATGTCTCTGTTTCAGCACACAGATCCTTGGGGGCCCTTACTAAACTTGCATTAGGTCTGGCCCTTGATTCTGCACCAGAGCTCAGCCTCGGAAGCAAAGCTGTCACGCTCTGAATTGCTGTAGCCAGCCTCTTCGTCTGGTCTGCTTTGGCCGGGCTACTGCCCCGCCAGGCTCCTTAGGAGGTCTGTTCTGTACCGGCTCCTTTCTGAATGAACATGTCCCTGTGTGCTACAGGATCAGTCACGAGAGCTGAAGCTCGTGGCAGGCTGAGTGAAGCATCCAGGCAACGCTTTGCTGGAAGCAAGAGCTGTGCTGGCTGGAAGCGAGGAGGAGAGGAGCGGGGATTCCCGGTGGGGCGAGGAGCGGTGCCCTCCCTCTGCAGTCGGCGCCTGGGCAGATGGTACCCAGCAGCCTTCCACCCGGCCAAGCGTGCAACTCTTGCGCTTAAAAATCCCATCTTCATGGGAAAAACATAGTAGTAGCAATTCTTTTTCTCTTATCAAGTGAGTTATTTCTGTGAAATAAAAGTATTCTAGTAATATGCTAGGCAGCCATGCTCAGATTAAGGGTCCAAGTCAGTAGGTTAAATACTGCTTTGTGCAAAAAACGCAGGAATTGATACAACTGTTAACATTGGATTTGACTGTTTCTTTTATTCATAATCCCTGGAGACATAGCCTAGGTAATAAAGAACAGTAAAGCTCTGCGTGCTGCAGGAGAGCGAGTCGATAATTTGGCTAGTGGAGCGGTACTACTGCATGCAGAGAATGAGCTGGTTTAGCTCGTCGTTTTAGGCAAGAAGTGTGTGTGAGAATTAACTTTAGAAGACCAAAGAGCAAGCCTGTATTCAGTGAAAAATGCCTTGCCTTACCTGATGCTCGTAAAGAAAAATCTGACCATTTAAAAATACATCTTTACTAAGACTTGCTTCTTATTTATGTTCTTTTTTTGCAAAGTTTTTCCAGTTAGGGATCAGATTTCTGCTAAAACAAAGACTGTCCAAAGAAGACATTTAGGCTTTTGGGGGAATTACCCACTTAAATGGTAGAACTGTTCCTTCCAAGGATTCTCTGTTCATCCCTGCTTGAACAAACCGAGCTAGTATTCTGAAAGTAGCTGATTTTATTTTTAGTCGTCGTGTTTTCTCTAAAGGGTGCTCGGCTTTAGGTCGTGTACTGGGAAGCAAAGCCTCCAACACCCCGACGTGCTGTAGAGGCATTAAGAACTGGCTGCAGATGCTGCCTTTGCAAGTGTAGCCCTGCCTGGTCATGTAGCCCAGAAATGGGGAGGACTGGGCTGCCTAAAAATGGATAGTAGCATGAAATCAGCTAAGGATCTCCAAGAGGTTATTCTCAAAGGTAGGAATTTAAAGACTGCCTGACTTTGAGGGCAAATCATCCCATTGGAAGGTATTTCTCTCTACTGAACATATAGGATCCTTAAAGGTAGGCAGTATGAATGCTCTTTGCCCCCTTTTCTCCTCCAGATCCCACCAGCTGCATATTTTTCACATGTTCTAGCTAAATCTGCAACTGTAGCTCTTCGTTCGGAACGCAGGGTCTCGTGGATGGTATCTCAGGTTCATTTCCACTGAACGTTACAGGATGGCATGTTCAATATATGAGAGTTGTGTTCCCACTTCATAGCCTGTGAGGTGCTCTGGATGACAGCGACTGAAGAGCTCGATCTATGCTGGCTGAGACGGCAACAGACACTCCCTGGGGCAGTTTCTCACAGTGCAGCAGGGTCTTGTTTTCTACAATTTTTTTCCTTCCCCTTGTTTAGCTGTCTAACCTTGTCCTTCTGCCTCCTGTGCCTTACTCCTCCTCTTTCCTTTGTGTTTATTGACTTTGGATCAAAAAGCTAAGGCTGTTATAAACCTAGCTGTAATCAGAATAAATGCCGTACCGCAGCCGGGCAGCGTTTGGTTTCATCACTTTCAGTATTATCCATTATTTTTGCTTTTTTCCTGGAGGGAAGGCACAAGCTCCGATTTCTGTAGCATCAACCTTTCTACATTCTGACAAGTTAATCAAAAGTCAGGATACTAAATGAGCAATCAGTTGAAATGTGCTGAATCACTGTCACCTTTAGTCTGTGTTCATAGACAGCATTTTCCTTTTTTAGCTTAGCCTTCGATTGAATCTGGCAATTTCTCAGTCTGTTTGCCTTAAAAGACTTATTAGTCTGACGCAGGCGCTAGAGGCAATCAGTTAACAGCGCTTCTCTGCAGGCTTGCAGAAAAGACCTTGCTGGTTCCATGGTCCCATGCATCTTGTTCGTCTGAGGGGGTGTTTTTCACCTTTGAAGTGTTTTGTAGCCGGCTAGAATTAAGCTAGATAGGAGTTCTGCTGAAACTTCGAGGAAAACAAAGTGGTAGTGGCTATCCATTTTTATAGCGCGCTGCTGGAAACACTGACAAACAGCATCTGAGTCACTGGGAAATTGCTTTTCATTAATTGTCCTTCTTTGTTTTGGTTGGGTTTGGGTTTTTTTTCATTTGGAATACAGGAGAGAGGAAACATGTTTAATCCATGCTGCTAAATCTGGCATTTCATTAGAGGAGCTGCTCCTAATCAGCAGCTTCAAGCAGGGATTACAATAATTATGTGGGAAGAAATGCAATTGAGAGAATTGCGTTTCAAGACGCCTTCCTTCAAGGCATGCAGTCAGGTGCCTCCTTGCCGCTTGTGCAGGTGGTGCTTCTGTGAAGCCAGAGCCAGGGAATTGCTGCTTCTGTCTTGGAGAAAGGTCTGGGGAGGAGAGTGCCTCGAGCGATGGCTAGCAGTGAAACGTAGCAGGTAGGCTGGAAGGAAAGCTTCCAGGCTCAGGAGAGCTTTCTGATCCACAGGGAATGGCTTATTCCACGTTGGGTTTCAGTGCTCCGATGGATGCGCTCTGTTTATTGCTGCTTGTCTTCTATAAAATTTGAAGCCAAGAAGCTGCTCAAGAGAGCAGTGCATTGCAAGCAAGCCCTGAAAGAGGCGTCCAGGCTCCAGTGAAATTAGAGCCATGTACCATGCAGTGCAATTGTGGGTTGATGAACTTAATAAAATGCTATGATCCAAATACCAGTTTTTATCTTTTTTTTTTTTTTTCTATCCCCCTCCGGCTTTGACACTCTCCCCACAGAATTTCCTTCGCTGCCAGAACAACAAGACAAACTACAACCTGGTGTGCGAGACGCTGCAGTTTCTGGACTGTATCTGTGGAAGCACAACTGGCGGACTTGGACTTCTTGGTCTGTATATAAATGAGAAAAATGTAGCACTGATCAACCAGACGCTGGAAAGTTTGACCGAGTACTGCCAGGGGCCTTGCCACGAGAACCAGGTAATGCATCCATAGCTGTGAAAAGCATCACCCTTCCTCCCTACGCCCGCAGCGTGTGCTCTGCTGGGCGTGGGTTCTGTCTGCTAGGCTTGTGTTGTCTTACAACGCCGCTCATTTTACTAGCCTGACAAAGAGGGTTTGGGGTTTTTTTCCTCCCTAATAAACACATAATAATCAACTTCCCTTTCTCGAGGTCCCCTCTGAGCAGTTGAACCACTCAAAGCAGTAGAGATTTTTTTGCTTTCCTAGGATTTAAGTTGTTGTATTAGACTTGACAGACAGGGAAGAGTGGGGAGGTTTGGTACATGAAATACTTTGTAGTAAAAATATTGCTAAAACCAGGCTCTGTTGCCTGTTGTAAATGAGGCCAGAAATGTGGTCCCCCCCCGCCTGATGGGAGAAGGTTGAGCTCTGTAGCTTCGTTAATGAAGGTGATAACCATGTTGAGGTTGGTTTCAGACTTAGTCTTGCACGTAGAACCAGGTGCGTGTCGCTGCCGCCTGCCCGTGCGCTTGCAAGCAAGGGGTGCGTGTTGGTGAGGACCACCAAGTGTCTGCGGGGGGCGAGGCAGCCTCCCTCCAGCTCCCCCCAAACCGTACTCGCTGTCAGCGGTGTGTTCTGCTCCGAGCAGGAGTAACTTCTAAAGCAAGCATGGTGGTTTAAGTAATCATGTTACAGGGAAGGCATATCTGAATAATGACAATAATCCTGCCGGATAAAGCAGTTACTGACCCACAGCTGGACTCTGTCTGCTCTGTGCCTCAAAGGTTGAATAATTAGCAAGGAATATGGGAAGATTCTTTGTTTGCCTAAGTGGGAGTTTTTAGGTGCTCAAGAATGACGGTTTGTTCCAGCGGGAAGGAGCAGAGGGCAGGGGCAGCCGTACTGCTCGCCATGCTTTGCCACTTCGCCTTCCCGCAGGCTGTACAGCCGTGTGTTAGAGCAGCACCGCCAATTAGTCAGGCCCATTTCTTCTGCTTTTAGTCTAAACGTGACTCCTCCTATAACTGTTTCAATGAGTTGAAGTCTGAAAGTCCGGAGTAAACCATACTAAAGAGACAGCTACCCCAAAATAGTTTTCCAAACTCTGGCCGCTCTGTGGCATCGACTCAACAAATAGCACGTGCTCTGCGCGTGCGTTAGAGAACGCTTTTCCCATTGGGCTGGCGTGACTTGGCAAGTCCTGTGTGCCGGGGTGGGTGCCACCCTTCTAACGAGCAAACCTCTACACTTACAAACATGGATAGCTGCTTATTTTCTCCCTCTGCAGACTATTTGAACCGTAGTATGGTACGGAAAGACTGGAGTATGACTTTTCAAAAAGCCTTCGAGAATATCTGTCCTTTGAAGTGCCTTTTCTTCGTGCACGCAAATGTGATTTACAGCAAAGCTAAACGAAGCATAGTGGGGGGTGACCAGCGTTCAGATGAAATCACATCGATGCAAGAGAATGCATGAGGCTGTACACGTCAGTTCATAACTGACAGTTTCTGTTACACGGATCGGGTGGAATAACAACCTTTAGATATAGGCATGGATCTTCGCAGTGGGAGCTCGACAACAGCGCAGGGCTCTGGATTTTGAAGCAGCAAGCTACTGTTGGTTTGTGTATTTTAGTTATAGACCATTATAAAAGCAGGGTTTAAGGGTAAGCAAGAAGGTTATGGAAATTCCCATTCTTTGGTTAGACAGGACTGAAGTAGGTGTTGATTGGCACATCTAAAATAAAGAAAACTCTCCCTAATCTTAGTAGAACAGTGTTCTTCCTTGGTTACGTATTCAGCCTGGACGCTTTGGCACGCGAGTGCTTCGTTTATCAACTCTGTTGCTTTCTGCTTCCTGAGACTGGGTGGTTTCAGTTGGACAAGCCATGGCTGATGATAGGAAAAGCTTGAAACAGAATGCCTTAAGCTTTTGTTATTCCACCAACTGGAGTTTTCTGTTCAGTTATCCATCTCGAACAGCTTACAAGGTGATGAAAGAGGTGACTCTTCTGTTCTGGCTGGGTCACCAGCCTAGGCTGCATTTTTAGTGTAGACGATTAGTGAAGTTTGATGCATTTTCTTTGGACAGAACTGCATTGCTACTCACGAGTCCAACGGTATTGACATCATCACAGCATTAATTCTCAATGACATCAACCCTTTGGGAAAGAAGAGGATGGACCTTGTGTTGGAACTGAAGGCAAGTGAATATTTTGTGCAATCCATGTTAACAGTAAGATGAAACACAATTTTATTGTTGGAATTATGTGGTGTTTACTGTGTCCCAGTATTCATAAGTGCCAAAAATTATATGCATCAGTGAGCTGGAGGCAGTGCCCAAAGATCATTTGTCACAGGTATTTCATCTTCTAAATGATAACGTGGAGCCACCGGTTTTCAGATGGGGGGGATGCAGGCAGTCAAGGTAGGCTGAGGAATCCTAAAATAATTTCCTGTTAGAAATGGAAAGCCGATGAGGACTTCGCAGTTGTTGGTGAGCTGGGATACAATGGAAGTAAAACTTCTCATGCTATGTCTAGTTTCCTGATACTTTATTGTTGTTGTTTAATCAGTTGATGTTTAATCGTCAAGAATTTTTTTAGGGCTGTTCATATTAATGCTGAAATAATTAGCCCTGGTGCTGGCTTCAAAATACACTAGCAGGTTGTCTTCTAGCAACAGTAGTCACAGAGCACTCCTGCTTCAGCATATGTTTTAGAAATATTTCCTTTCTGACTTACTGTCCTGTCTTATAGTGCAATGTCTAGTTGCTTTCCGTTGCCGACTCACACCATTATTATGGGTAATGTGAGTTTTTTATTATTCTAAATAAAAAATGCTTTTAGACTCAATTAGTATTGTACTTCAAAATTAAATATTTTTATTGGTTTTTATTGTCAGTCGTGATGGATTTTAATCTTAATTGTACTTATTAAAGTAGTCTGGTGCCTTGTGGTAGTTTCCCATTTCCTCCCTCTATTTCTTGGCCTGGGCAGGTCCCAGAATAATTCCCGGTTAAAAGCAGCGACGCACGTCTGTGTCTTCAGCCTTGGCTGTCCTTTGATTTAATCAGCAGTATCTTGAGTAAAGCTGAACTGCACCGTTTTGGAGTTGAGAGCTTGTAGTAATGCTGCAGTATCTTTAAAACAAAACAAGCTTGAAACCTCAGTGTTTCAGAAATCTCAGCCTTAACTTGGGTTAATTTGATGGCCCCCAGTAAGTAGGGTTTGGGAAATCAGCTGGTAAAAAATACTGCTAAGTTGTGTATCTCACTAATTAGAGGAGAGGGAGCGCTCGGCAAGGTGAGGCTGTAGGAGTCCTGCAGTAGGCTGGCTGGGAGGCTCTGCCTTGCCTGCAGCTCGTATTTGTAGAAACCAGGTATCTCAAGCCCTTCTGGGCAGCAGGGATGGTAGCGCTCAAGCTGGGTACCCTCTTCTTTTGACTCCTGGCAGTGACTGGCGTTGTTCTTCCCTCCCTTCAGAACAACGCTTCCAAACTGCTCTTGGCGATCATGGAGAGCAGGCATGACAGCGAGAACGCGGAGAGGATCCTCTACAACATGAGGCCCAAAGAGCTGGTGAGTCCCTGGATCCCGGCCGAAACTCCCGACTCCCTTCAGGCCAGGTTCAGCAGCACTGGGGAGACTGGGGTGGCCACGTCCGCCCCAGGTGTGCCGCAAGTGGTCTGTGCGTGGATTGCTGGCAACTGGAAGACCATTCAATGGTTTGGCTGAGTGAGTGCGATATCCACAGGGCACGGGTCTGTCCCGTTCCCCGGCAGCACGAGCAATTTGGGAAGCCATGCCGAATGCCGCGGAGGAGGCGTTCAGCATCCTGCGTAAGGCAGGGAAGGAGCATCGTCTGACGCTTTGGAACCCACACGTAGATGCCATTTGCACAAGAGACAGCTGTTCGGTAGACTGTAGCAGGCTTTTGGGCTGGTTAATGTATTAACTGGTGAAAACACAAACAGGACATTCAAAGTAGAGCTGAAACACTGTCGGCTTGTCTCGGTGCACGGAGCTACGGCGCAGGCCAGAGGTCAGAACGTGATGCGCCATGCTGCGAGAGGGGCCCAGAATACATTACCTAGAGGGGAGCACGAAGTTTAGCTGCTTGTGTTGATGAGCTGGGCTGAAAGTGCTGAGTTCAGGTCTCCTGTTTTATCCTGGATATCGAGAAGCCCACTGACCTTCCTCTTGAATGTATACACTCAGCTCCCTTTCGCTTCTGTAAGAGTGGCAAGTGTGTACTGGCCTTAGCAGACTTCAGCCCTCAGCCTGAGCTGTCTCTTCATTGGCCTCTGTCTGTCTTTCTAGGTGGAAGTGATAAAGAAGGCTTATCTGCAAGGAGAAGTAGAATTCGAGGATGGAGAGAACGGGGAAGATCTTGCAGCATCTCCGAGGAATGTGGGACACAACATTTATATATTAGCTCATCAGGTAGAATTTCACCTACAGCTTTTGTAGCACCAAGTGTCAAAAACTGTGAATAGCAAGAGGTCTGCTTTTCCCTGAAATTGTTTTAATGGCTCACCTCCGAGACAAACTCGCTGCACGTTCTCTTTTTATCAGAGTAAATGCAAACCCTTAAAGAATCAGAAAAGAAAGTTTATAATACAAGAAAATTTTTGGAGTTTTCTTTTCTAATGGGAAGCAGGCAGGCTCTTGACCAAGTTTCTGAAGACACATGATTCAAGTTCTTGGCAGTACTGGGGAGCTCTGTATTATTTTTCAGCTGTATCAAAGGTTACTTTATACTCCCAAAGAAATTCTACTCACGGATCACTTAAATCGTAAGCAGAAATCTCACTCTGCTCTTACTGTTCTTGCCACATTTTCTCTGTGTTGGAGCCAGTCAGGTTCATTGTATTGATGCAATGTAGTGTTTGGAAGGTAAAAGACCAAGGCGGGGGAAATATATCTAGATCTACTTAAGATATTGATGCTACACCTATCACTCCGTTAGAGACTTGGTGTTCTTTTAGCATCTGAGAAGAAAAACCATCATTGCGCTGTAAAATGAATCTAGAGCATCCAGAAGCATTCTTGGAGCAGTGCTTTGTGCATCTGCTTTTCAATTGATGCAGATTTTCTCTTCCTTTGAATTAGGGTGGGTGTAGAAGGATAGACCGAATGTGAATGTTCAAAAAGTTTCCCAAGTCAGGCAAAGGGTGGGAGAGGATGGGTAACAGAGGAGTACAACATGGATATTAAAAAAAAAATACATACTTGAATCATTCTGACTTGCTCCCAAAATAGAGCTGCGGGGTGTCTGGTTGGAATAGAACAAGCCTTCTGTCAACTTTGCCCTTTCTTAGCAGCTGACTGCGTACTATTTCTTTTTTTATGCCAAAAATCAGAAATTTAATACCATAGAGAGACATCTGGTGTCTCCCACTCCCTTTGCGTTTCTTTATTTTAGTTGGCTCGTCATAACAAAGAGCTGCAGAACATGCTGAAGCCGGGAGGTCAGATAGAGGGAGACGAGGCTCTGGAGTTTTATGCCAAGCACACGGCACAGATTGAGGTAAAGGGAAACCGGTGGCTGCTGGGAGGTGTGTGGGGGGAAACGATTGCTGCGGAAAGAGCCGCTTGGAAGAGAAACGGTGGAGTTAAACACCGGTTACATTATACGTGGTATTTTGATTGAACTGACTACCTGTGTGTGGACTGTCATCTTTGACATGAGGATATATGTGTACTTATTTTTTTTATTTTATTTTTTGACAGCCGCTGGGGGGGAGCTATTTTTGAGCTGTCATGTGTGGGCTTTAAGATGGAGCTGAGCAGAGCTCTGTTGGCAGGAGGAAGTGTAACTTCGCTTCTGTTACATTTTGGCCGGTACTATTGCTGAATCCATAAAGTCAGTGATAGCTTTTGCCATTCTTTCTGTATTAAAATGACATTTTGGCCTGATGCACCATCTAAGATGCTTCTAAGAAGTAAAACACGCACAAACATGGAGAGTTCACAAAACTCTCTAATAAACAACATAAATATAATTTATTACTCCTCACACTTGCCTGTGCGATGTGTGGCTAAAATTTGATAACAGTCTTGAATTGGGCAACCAGATTGCTCTGAAATTCAGTGCAGCTTTGGTGCAGGATTCACTGGGCCCCTTGGAAATCCCAGCTAAGTATTGCCAGGATAAGACCACAGCATAGAAATTATCAGTCTCGGAGCTAAGTGTAGGCCTGCTTTGAAAGGTAAATTAAGTGAAGTCTCTACCAAGCTGCTGTTCTACAAAACATGTCCAAGTTTCTACATGTAGCTGGTTGGAAGGCGGGGGGCGGGGAAGCAGACAAACCAAGAAATAAAAGCATTTAATAACTGGAAAGAACTCTAATACGGCTGCCGTTCAGATTGTCAGGTCAGACCGTACCATGGAGCAAATAGTCTTCCCCGTGCCCAGTATCTGCGAATTCCTCACGAAGGAGTCCAAGCTGCGGATATATTACACCACGGAGAGGGATGAACAAGGCAGCAAGATCAATGACTTCTTCATGAAATCGGAAGACCTCTTTAATGAGATGAACTGGCAAAAGAAGTTGCGAGGTAGGTTGCTGTTGCCAGTGCGGTTGTGTGGAGCATTACCAGCAGAGCGCTGAGGTCGGGTTTTCAGAGTTTGAAACGTTGGCTCGGTAGCAGATGGTTCCCCAGTGTGGCGGCAACCTTGATAATTGTTTGAAAGAGTCTGCTCCTCTGCACGATGGCAATATGTTGTAATGAAGTCAAGCTTCATGCAAGAGCAATATGGACCAACTGGAGGGGATCCAGGGGAGAGTGGTAAGAGGGATCACAGGTCGTCTTTTTTAAGATCCAACAAGAAGGAACAAATTTGTGGAGGCTTAGCTTAAAGGAGAAGGCATTTGGTTGCAGGGAGGAAGGGAGAGGACACAGCTGAAGCAAGCAGTGGTCTGTTCTCCTTCCCCGCACTGGATGCAGGAAGCAGTTCCCTTGCGCTGCAAGGAGGAGCAAGGCTGGGTAATGCAGCATGGACTTACGGCATCTCCAGCAATGGGGGTATTTAAGAACAGGTTAAACATGGATTTTCCAGTAACGGTAAAAGTAGAATTCGCCCTTCCTTTGGGCAAGGAATAGACTGGCAGATGTGCCAACTAAGTCCCTTCCAGCCCTGTGATGTTAAAACATCTGAAAGCAAGCATTTTCAAGCACTGCTTTGCCCTCTGAGGTTCCCACTGGCAACTAGGAAAACTTTTAAAATGATATTTTAATTCATACAATGCCACCACTTCCCCCAGTAAACTTTCTAACTCGCTTGCTTAAAATTATTTTAAAAAAAAAAAACAAAAAAACAAACAACTTCTGTCTTCTTTTGCTGAAGGAGAAATGTTGCACATGAGGCTCAGCTTCAGTGGGCAGTGATGAGTGGTTAGAATTTACCAACAGTGACCCTCTGAAAAGCGAGAGATAAAGCAGTTATTTCCTGCTCAAGTCAACATCTGCCATCTGATACCGCTGCTGTTCCCCATGCTTGAATCAGCTAAACTCCAGTTATTAGCGCAAGATCGCAGACCGGTCCGGAGCCGCCCCATAGAGCAAATGGGAGAGCGGGCTTCTGCTGTACAGCTGCGTGCTGCTGTCAGCCACCAAAACCTGCCTGCTCTGCCGGGCCGTCCACGCCGGCGTGGTTAGCAAAGGCTTTCCCCCTGACAGAGACCACGCTGGTACTCAGTCAGTGCTGCGTATCATAGGAAAAAAATTAGGTGAGGAGGGACCTCTTGACCTCCCTCACTGTGAAAACAATTTTTTTTTATAAAATCATTCCCCTTGTTGCAACCTCTGACGATCGCATTTCGCCCTTTCACTGCGCACCTCCCAGAAGAGCTTGGACCCTTTCCAGTTTGTTTTTAGGATGCGGATGCGCAGCAGAGCTGGTGATGTGTTGCACGTTGGGTACCGGAAACTCAGTGTTTGCTTCTGAGTGTTGGGATGTATGTGCATATACATGTGATAATCGATCTTTTAACAGAGGAAAGCAATTGTAATCATATTATTTAAAATGATCAAAGTCAGGTACAGAAAAGACCGCCTGAGACTTGGTCAGCTCTACTGAAATATTTTTTGTGTGTATGAATACTAAATAGAGTGGAGCTGTTTCCTGAACAATGGGTTAGTACTTCTGACAGCATCAAAATCCCCAGGAAGCTGCTTCCTAAAATGACTTCCAAGAACTCTGCAAGAATATGGGAGCATTTGACATCCTAAACAAATGGGCAACTTTGACAGCATGTATATATTCTGTTGGGTTTTGTTGTTTGAGTTGCTTTAATTGTCTTTGAGGCTGTCTCCAGGCAGGCTGTGAAGACCTCCATAATTAACAAGAGAGCACAAATGGATCAAGATCCACCTGCGGAATTGGAGAACGTTTCTTTTTTTCTTTAACAAACTGGAATCATTTAGGCTGTCTCCTAATATTCTGGTCTTGTTTGACCTCTAAGTGATATTTACGTTTCTACAGTTGTTTCTCACATCTTAAATACAGGGTTGTGTTTTTGAGACGTGACTCGACTGCACCCATGGCAGTGCTCCTCGCTGCGCTCATGTGATACTGCTTACAGTTTATTCAAACCTGAGAAAGGCTTTTTAAAAAAGTCTTTATAAAGACCCGTGTACTTCCCCCTTCAGCTCACGGTTCTAGCTCATAATCTGAGCACTGTAAGTCTCCCAAGGCCTTAATTAAGAATTCAAATGAGCCTGCCAAAACCTGGCAGAAGTGCTACCCAGGGCAGATAGTCTGTGCCCATCCCCACATGGGGGTTTAAAGGAAAACCTGGAACTTCGTAATGACCCCTCGTATAACACTTACATACAAATTAACTCAACCCGCTTACAAATTCTTCCTGTTAAAATTAAATTGAGCACAGAAATAATAGAGAAATCAATGCATCGTATATTCGAAACGTTGCTGCATCCCGTTTCAGTGAGGCTTAGCATGTGCCTGGCTAATTAGGTGCAATGAAGCTTGCACTCTCACGGTGACGGGGTACCTTTCTGTAGTCCTTTCCTTTGCATTCAGCCGTGCAATACGTTTGCTTTTTATGTGCATTTCAACTCAGTATAATGAGGCATTGTATAATTCTTTTAACCCATTTTATTTTTTGCTTAGGATGCTAGAAGAGGTGCTTTGCTGAAGAGAGGTGGTGGCTACTGTGAGGCTCAGAATTGCTGCATTCATTAATTTACTTCTCAGCCCCAGCGTTTGCATTTTCATCTTTTCCCTAAATTTCAGTGTGCGCTTCTTTTCCTTTGCTCTCTGATATCTGTACACGTTGCCCCCTTCCAACAGGGAAAAACACTAGTTCCCTTCTTTGAGAGCGTTTTTAATAGATTTTTTTTTTTTTTTTTGCCACCCTGGATTTCAGCAGTACACAATTTGCTGCACAATAAGCCTGCAGGAGCTAAAATCCGGGGCATTTTGCCTTGATGCAGAAGGAATTACTGTAAGGCAGCTTCTTAGCTGTCCTTGTTGTCTTCTGGTCCACGATCGCTGCAGAAAATGAATCCTTCTGCTTTCTGTGCCTCTTGATTCTTGCCGCAGAGATTATTAAAATTCGGAGTCTTCTCGAAAAGCATTTATATGTAGCGTTAAGAATGGAAAACGTCCAGCTGTTTAACCGTACGCTTAGCTCTGGGCAGATGTGCTTGTGTCCTTTGCCCGCAGGACAGCGGGAAGGCCAGCCGAGCTCCAACTCGGTTATTATTCTGGGGTGCACTGCTCTGTTACCAGCTTGACGTAAAGTTGTCTTACTGGCTTGGCAACTAGTCCTAAACATTTTAGCTGTATTGTTGCGTCGCTGTGCTGCATTTTGTGTCTCATTTGTCCGCCTTGCGCTGTCTTCGCTGCAGTTTTTTTTCCCGGCTCGCTGCCGCGGAAGGGAAGTTTGAAGGTGGGCAGTATCTCGCGGAGGTGAGCTGCTGGCGGCGGCGTAGCTGGGAGGGATGGGGCTGAATCTCTCCATTGATAACACGTCCAAATTTTCTTCCTCCTAATTGTTCTTTGTGTGACTCTTGAGTACCAAGTATATGGGAAACCTGATGTCCTTGACCTCTGCCAATTCTGAACTCATTATCATACTGCTGCTAAATCGTATTTGAAAATATGTTCCTTTTTGACATGAGTCCTTTGCCTTAAAGCACTCTCGAGGAAACTGGAAGTACTCCAAAGATAAAGAGTAATCAAATAAACTTCAGAATAAGCTATGAATATTACAACTGTGGATGCTGTGCTTTTGGGCAATCTGAAAATGAACTAAGTTTTGGTGGAGATTAATTTTTTATATAGACCTCTTACTTTTTAAATGCTCCATTAAAAAGAATTATTTTTCTCTTTTGCAGCTCAACCTGTCCTATACTGGTGTGCTCGCAACATGTCCTTCTGGAGCAGTATTTCCTTTAACCTGGCTGTCCTTATGAACCTGCTTGTAGCATTTTTCTATCCGTTCAAAGGAATTCGAGGAGGTACCAATATTTAACGTACAAAAATATGTGAACAAATAAGGTATAATGAGCCAAATTCTGCCCCCCACTTGTGTCTGTGCATCCCTGTTTGCTTCAGTGGGGATAGGAGAACAGAAATTGGTTTTCTTTAATTGCCTTGATTTAAATTGTGCTGTTCCCTGACTTTTTCTTGAGGCATTTGTAAGGAAAATGTAGAGCCATGCTTTTTCCTAGGGGAAAAAGTTATCAAAGACAGACATCCACCTTTAATTACTTGACTGTTCTACTTTGGTTTAAAGTTCTGTAATTAAGTATTGAACTAAAAATGCGAGAAATGTTAATTTGTTGTTTTCCTTGAGCTTGCATTTTATTAATGCCGTTTTCCATAAAACTTTCACGGTGGCATAGCGCTTCAGGAGGCCTCCGAGTGTTGGGTGAGTGAGGTTCGTTGGCAGGCGAGGCGTACGGGAGCGAAGCGACCTGCCTCGTGCCGTTAGAAATGGATGGAGGATACAGGAAAAAGAGCCCGTCTGCCCTCTGTTCCTGTCTCTCCTAGGAGTCCCTTACCCCTGCGAGCACTTAGAGCAGAGGTTGTCCTACGGAGCGAGGAGGAGCGTGCCAGCCATGTCTCCTGGCTCCGGCTCCGAGGTTCCTTGCCATCAGCGGGTAGCAGCTGGGCTTGCGCTGTCGTTCCTGCCGTAAAGTACGGGTTAACGTGTGCGCTTCACGTGGGATTGCACAGCCTTGCTGTAAGAGGTCTCGTGGAAGTCGCTTTTGCTCCAAGCAGTGGGTTTGTGTGACAGTGGTGGCTCTCAGAGCCAGTTCAGTAAATACTCCCAGTGGAGCCCTGATGAGATTCAGCTGCTCTTCCTTAGATCCAGCCTCTCCCAAGAGATGCACCCCAGGGCAGGTCAAGGGGTGGATTCACATCAGCAAGAATCAGGAAATCTGGAGAAATATTCTTGTGAATGCCTCTACCGTGTTTTATCGCTTGCCAAGCTGGTGTAAAGGAAATACCTAGGTAGGAGCTTTTGCTACTTATTTACTGGAGTAAATAAGGACCCCAGCAGTAAAACCTTCTGGAGAGGGTGATTCTGTTCAAGCCTGCATTTCCCTTTCTTTGAGATTCATAATGCAACAGGGCCAGTTAGATGCTTATCTTTTCCTATTGAACTTCCCTCTGCACCTTTCCCACGTTCATCGCTGACTGCAGAACCCAAAGACAATGCGGCTCAGAGACGGCCGTAGCCTGATCATAGCAAAATCACCAGCTGAGCTCTGTGCGTGCGGCGTAAAAGCCGCTTCACCCTTTTTGCAGCTCAGCAGTTAATTCAGATTGAGGAGAGCCGCGCTTTTGTCCGAGTAGTATTTGATAGCAGCTTATGGTCGCCGTGGGCACGGAACACTTGCGCTTAGGGGTTCTGCATCTTGATACAGCCTGTGAGAAGATACAGGATATTTTCGACCAAAATCCGGCGTTCCTGAGAGGGGGAAGAGTTAGTTATCTTCTGCAACATCAGGCCGTGGTTTCGGCTGCGGTACCTCTGCATCGCACCCTGTGACAGCAGGCGGTGCGGCTACCCGGATCCCGTTCTGGCCAGCAGCTGACTGGAAGGTTTTAACAAGCACGAAGAGCAACTGGATTTCCTGTCTCTAGTTTCAAACATCGCAAGTTAAAATTTAAAAGTCTGTATTTGTGGCTGCTCAGAAAGCTGGTGATTAAAGGAGTTTGTTGAGATTGCAAGTTGCAAGAGCAGGGGGGGATCATTCGGCATTTTGAAGATGCCCTACCCTGCACATTTGAAATACTTTATCAGGTAACACGCTGATAAAATCTCTTTCTCTAGTAGTTACAATGAAAAATGTAAAATAATAAATACATGTGTATTTTATATTTAGCTTTAAAAAAAAAAAAGGCATTTCAAAACAGACTGTTTCAGGGAAGTGGTTCGTGTCTTGAATTCCTCAGACACGGTGGACTGAGCAGCTGATTAGCATCTGACTGTAGCAGCAGCAGTGAAACTTCTGACTTGAGGAGCAGAAACAAAACTGGACGCCTGGAATTCGATACTGGAACGGTGAGGATTCCAGAGCCGGGGAGAGCTTCCTACCGAGTCCTCCCAGTTACACGCTCCCTGCCAGCAGTCGCGTAATGGGCTCCACGTGCTCGCAGCAAGGCTTTGACGTTCGCTCGGGAGCAGACAGTTGATGTCAAGTGACCGCTGGCCTGCTGAGCTTCGTTGCCGAGGGCAAGGACACCGCTCCCAGCCTCTCTCCGTCCCCAGGAAGGAGAGACAAGACTGTGCCCTGAGACCCGC